AGACAAATCCTCTCCAAATACAGATTAAGTGACCATGATCTAGAGATAGAGAGAGGAAGACATAGACAGACATGGACAGAGAGAGAGCAGAGGATCTGTAGACACTGTGATCTACAGCACATAGAGGATGAGGAACACTTTCTGCTTTTCTGCTCTAAATATACCAGTATAAGAGACACTTTTCTGCCCAAATTTGAAGCCTTGATCCCATCATTCTATGAACTGAGCGACACTGTCAAAATGTCCTTCTTACTGGGAGAAGATGTTAATACAGCTGCACTAGCGGCTAAATATGTGCTAGCTATTCACAACGCCAGAGACAGCTAATTCTCCAGAGTGATCAAATGTATTTATTTATCTATTTATTAAGATAGATTGTGTTTATTTATCTATATATTTACAATGCTACATATGACATGATTTATACATATATGTTCACTGTTTGTTTTATTATTTATATTTAATATGCTTTGGCAACATTGTGTTACACAGTCATGCTAATAAAGCTGATTTGAAATTGAAAATTGAAATTGAGTGAGTGAGAGCGTGAGTGGGACAGTGAGCGAGTGAGACGGTGAGTGAGTGAGACAGTGAGTGAGTGAATGAGTGAGACAGTGAGTGAGTGAGTGAGTGAGTGAGTGAGACAGTGAGTGAGAGAGTGAGTGAGAGTGAGTGAGTGAGTGAGACAGTGAGTGAGTGAGTGAGCGAGTGAGACAGTGAGTGAGCGAGTGAGCGGTGAGTGAGTGAGACAGTGAGTGAGTGAATGAGTGAGACAGTGAGTGAGTGAATGAGTGAGTGAGTGAGACAGTGAGTGAGTGAGTGAGTGAGAGTGAGTGAGTGAGTGAGACAGTGAGTGAGTGAGTGAGCGAGTGAGACAGTGAGTAAGAGAGACAGTGAGTGAGTGAGACAGTGAGTGAGTGAATGAGTGAGTGAGTGAGACAGTGAGTGAGTGAATGAGTGAGTGAGTGAGACAGTGAGTGAGTGAGACAGTGAGTGAGTGAGACAGTGAGTGAGTGAGTGAGTGAGTGAGACAGTGAGTGAGTGATACAGTGAGTGAGTGAGACAGTGAGTGAGTGAGTGAGTGAGTGAGTGAGTGAGTGAGTGAGTGAGTGAGTGAGTGAGTGAGAGAGTGAGTGAGTGAGTGAGACAGTGAGTGAGTGAGTGAGTGAGTGAGTGAGTGAGACAGTGAGTGAGTGAGTGAGACAGTGAGTGAGTGAGTGAGTGAGAGTGAGTGAGTGAGACAGTGAGTGAGTGAGTGAGTGAGCGAGTGAGACAGTGAGTGAGTGAGACAGTGAGTGAGTGAGACAGTGAGTGAGTGAGACAGTGAGTGAGTGAGACAGTGAGTGAGTGAATGAGTGAGTGAGTGAGACAGTGAGTGAGTGAGTGAGACAGTGAGTGAGTGAGACAGTGAGTGAGTGAGTGAGACAGTGAGTGAGTGATACAGTGAGTGAGACAGTGAGTGAGTGAGTGAGACAGTGAGTGAGTGAGTGAGTGAGTGAGTGAGTGAGACAGTGAGTGAGTGAGTGAGTGAGTGAGACAGTGAGTGAGTGAGCGAGACAGTGAGTGAGTGAGACAGTGAGTGAGACAGTGAGTGAGTGAATGAGTGAGTGAGACAGTGAGTGAGACAGTGAGTGAGTGAGTGAGACAGTGAGTGAGTGAGTGAGTGAGTGAGACAGTGAGTGAGTGAGACAGTGAGTGAGACAGTGAGTGAGTGAGTGAGTGAGACAGTGAGTGAGTGAGACAGTGAGTGAGTGAGACAGTGAGTGAGACAGTGAGTGAGTGAATGAGTGAGTGAGACAGTGAGTGAGTGAGACAGTGAGTGAGTGAGTGAGACAGTGAGTGAGTGAGTGAGTGAGACAGTGAGTGAGACAGTGAGTGAGTGAATGAGTGAGTGAGACAGTGAGTGAGTGAGACAGTGAGTGAGTGAGACAGTGAGTCAGTGAGACAGTGAGTGAGTGAGTGAGACAGTGAGTAAGAGAGACAGTGAGTGAGTGAGTGAGTGAGTGAGAGAGTGTGAGTGTGAGTGTGTGTGTGTGTGTGTGTGTGTGTGTGTGTGTGTGTGTGTGTGTGTGTGTGTGTGTGTGTGTGTGTGTGTGTGTGTGTGTGTGTGTGTGTGTGTGTGTGTGTGTGTGTGTGTGTTTTTTTGGTCCCCACAGCTTATAAATCATACTTTTCACTCACATGCATTTAAACAGCATTTTTATATTTTGTGAAGAAATTTTCCATGTGTAGAATCATTTTTCCATGATTAGTGTTTGCACGTGAAAAACATGTTCCTATGCCGTTGCTGGGGTGTTCTGGGTGGAAACAAGGAAAAACAAATAAGACACACACACAATCTCTCCTCTATTCTTTTTTGTGCTTTGTTTGCACACTGATACTGAATCTCAATAGCACTTTCTGTGGTTTCAGGATGTGTGTGTTGTATGCGGTTTGGCTGGTGTTCTGTTCATTGATGTCTTACACACAGACAGATTGCTGTAGTTATTAGTAGATCTCTATTTGAGCAGCAAGGACTCCAGCTGTCCCAGAATGCCACACTTCAGTGAGTTAAGTGTGTCTGTTTCCTGCATAAATCAGCATACGGCCCATAATAGAGTTGTACAATGCCAGAGAAAACACACACACACACACACACACACACACATTTTGAGGTCTGGAATGGTTTAGTTTGACACTGATGACAGGAATATTTCCATGTTGATTCGTTTACTGTTCTCTGTTCTCTCTTTTTTCCCTTTGTATTTAAACAAAAAGAGTGTGATTTCTGTGCCACTCGTCTCCAAACAGAATTGCAAAAACAGTGACTGTTTTCAGACTCCCCTTGTCTCCCATTGGTTGGTTAAACCGATAGCCCCGCCCCAAACTCACACCATTGGTTGAGTCAGTGTTGCTGCATTGTAAAAAATTATTTTCATGATTTGTTATCACAACTTTTTATCTTTTGGTCAAATCAACTTAGATAATTAATGTGCTTCAGAGAACATAATATTTTGAATTTCTATTTATTAAACCAATCTCCTTCATTGTATTAACTCAAAAATTTGAGTTCATTCAAATTACAAAGGCAACCAGGTAACTTACTTTTTTAAGTTAAACCAACAATATTTTTTACAGTGTGTGTTGTACTGGTTAAGATACTGATGTTTTGATCGCTCCAATAGCTCAGAGGATGCTCTTTCATAGTTCATAGTTTCTCCGTTATGAACCATCTTGTGTTGGAGCCGATAGCCTTAGACCCGAGTTTGAGTCCCGGCGCGAGATCCTTTGCCAATCCTCATCCCCTCTCTCCTGTGCTTTCCTGTCTATTCTCTCCTTTCTAATAAAGGCAAAGAGACCTTTGTCTCACATGTCTTTAAAATTCTTTTGGAGAAATAAAAATAGATACAAATTGTCTGACATACAGTATAGAGCTATAAAATTGATGCATAACCCCATTTGGTCTTTGGTCTTGGAATTTGATGAGACATTTCTGAAATCGTGTTGAGTCTCGGCAAATCTGCATTTTGAGATTTCTTCTGAAACTAGACTTATATTTGAGGATTTCATTTGTGAATATTTTTTCTTTAAACACACACACACACATATACATAAGCTCACATGTGCCTCAAATTACCCCCAATCAGTGAGTGGACTGTAATTGCTCCAGGGGCATTACAATCACACACACACACACACACACACAGAGAGAGAGAGATAAAGAGTGATTATTGTGTCAGTCCTTTAGTTCGACCTCCCTCAGAGAAAGTGTGTGTGTGCGCGTGCAGAATAACTCTGTCATCATCAGTAACTGGCACTGGAAAGAGAGAGAGAGAGAGAGAGAGAGAGAGAGAGAGAGAGAGAGAGAGAGAGAGAGAGAGAGAGAGAGAGAGAGAGAGAGAGAGAGAGAGAGAGAGAGAGAGTCCTCAGGCTGTTTCCAGACTCTCTAGAGTTTAACTGTTTCGCTAAATTTGGTGCCATGTTTATTCAGAGAGGGTTTAAAATAAATGCTGTGTGTTACTGGAACTGTGTGTGTGTGTGTGTGTGTGTGTGCACAAACCAGACCTCTCTGGCATTGGCAGCCTGTTTAGGGGTGTAAGCAGCAAATAAGTTATGTTATTTAATTTATATTGTTTCCATTGAATTATTTAATTTTATAGTTATGTATAATAATAATATGTTATATATGATAATGTAAGTGATATAATATAGTAGGCCTATATAGTACTGTACACTACCGTTCAAACCCTTGAGGTCATTAAAAATAGAATAATTTAAAGCAATGAATACTTTTATTCAGCAAAGACTACTAAAACAAATGTTACAGTAAATACATTTATAATGTTACAAAATATTTCTATTTCAAATAGATATTTTGAACTTCCTATTCATCAATGGATCAGTGTCCACAAAAATATAAAGCAGCACATTTGTTTTCTACATTGATAATAATCAGAAATTGTATATTTTTTAAAGCTCTATCTAGGCCAATATTCACTCAATTGGTCCTGTTTTTAGATGAACTCCTAACAAAGAGTTATCAAATGTAATTTGTTTTGTCAGATATGAACCAGGACATTTAATGTGGCCCGTAATGACTAACTGACTAGAGTTTTATGAGCGTAAAACATCACAAAACTCAGCCTGAGAACACGTGCCAAATGTAATCAAATTCCAGTGATAGTCACTATAATTTAAACAAATCCTTACTACACAACTGGGATTTCAGGAAGTTTATATTCCCCAGTATCTATGGGATCTTATCTTTCAAATTAGCCAATTTGTGGTCATTTTGTCCACTCTTCCAGTTTTAGACCCTGATGATTGCCACTATATTCCATTTGTTTCACTGAACAAAGACACTCTTGTTTTTCTGCGTGTATGTCGGACGGACTCGTGATCGCAGCGGAGGGAATAGTGTCTCTAATGCATTGTTAGTGTGTGTGTAAGGGGGTAGAAAGGTGATTTATGAGTAGAAATATGTTTTTTGGTGAATTATTGAATTATGTGTTTCTCTGCAGTCCCAAAGAAACTCGTGCAGGAGTCGGTTTCCAGGCACCCATCGTTCCCCTCTCCCCCATCAGTGCCTCATGACCCCAACGTGGTGGGAGACAGCGCCCCTCCTGACGGGACCCCGTCTCTGACCTCGGACTCCGCGCCAGGTGAGAAGCAAACCATAATCACTGAACCTAAACACACACAACCTCAGCAGAAGTTCTGACTGGAATCAGCCTAATGGCGATGATGGGAAACACTGATCTGAAACCACACACACTCTCTGTGTACAGATGCTGATAGTTGCTGTAGCTACCGCCGTGTTTTTGACTTTTGAACAGAACCGGACTAAAGATAAAACACCCACAATGCATTTCCTGTGAAAAAACTAATGGAAATATAATGTATTATTTAACGAAAATCCTGCACACACACGATGAGAACATGTATTATTATGAATTATTGATGTAAATCCAACTTATTCTTTTGTTTATTCCCAGACATAAAAGCTTGGGGCGTTTTAACCAACCATAGAAATATAAACTTTCTGTTTTGTAACGATCTCATGATGGTGATGGTGATGATTGTGTGCATTTGATGGCAGGGAGGTCGACGCGAGGCCGGAGTTCTGGTCCTTATTCGGAAAAGCCGGTTCCGTCTGGAGAAAGCGATCCGAACCCAACCGTCTCCAGCGTGATCAGACCAGACATGACTCTCATCAGCAGCATGCTGACGGCCTACACCTACATCACAGGTACAACACACACATCTGAGGTGGATCTACACCTACATCACAGGTACAACACACACATCTGAGGTGGATCTACACCTACATCACAGGTACAACACACACATTTGAGGTGGATCTACACCCACATCACAGGTACAACACACACATCTGAGGTGGATCTACACCTACATCACAGGTACAACACACACATCTGAGGTGGATCTACACCTACATCACAGGTACAACACACACATTTGAGGTGGATCTACACCTACATCACAGGTACAACACACACATCTGAGGAGGATCTCTGAATGCAAGCACTCAACAACTCTATAGATAAACTCAAAAATATATATTCATTATTAAGTAGTCAGCAGGATCTCGTTCTTAAAGGGTCACTTCACCCATTTCAACATTAATCTTTATTGAAAGTGGGTTATATATGTAGTCGAAATGTAAAAGAAATTTTGAATTTGGTGCCCTCTTGACCGAGAAAAGACAGAAAATAACTTTAGGGCGCATTTGTATGTAAGACAACAACTCCCACAATGCACCACGTTGCACAGCTCCGCAAGCCACTCCCACTAATCCAGAACAGCGCAAACATCAGAGAAATCACTCTTCCGTCTACAAGGCTAACGTTAGCTGCCAAATGAGTTTGAAATTCATTTCACACAAAATGTCTAGTTAGTTGGCTGTGGCGAGCAGGACGAGGGCGAGGGGCGTGAGAGGACGGCGCGAGTGATAATGAATGACACCTGTGAGACGCAGCGGTCTCATATCTCTCACGGAGGAACGGAAGCACAAAAGGAACAGGCCTGATTTTATGTTTTGTTTCTGTTGTGTGTGGCCAGCTGGCTTATACTTTTGTTTTGTATTTGTTTATTTTATTATTAAAATGTTTAAATGTTCGCCGGTTTCCGCCTTCTTCTTCCCACAACAACGAACCCGTTACATTGGCAAACTCATTAGCGAATTACTCATCGTTTGTATTTCTTTCTATATGGTGAATTATTGCACGATACCTGGATGTTCAGTCAGAACATATGCGGTGCGAAACTAGGATGGTTCACATCACAACACAAACGTCCGTGTGCTCGTCTGATTCAGAGATTTCGTCCAGGAGAAATTGCGATCGTTGAAATTCTCTGCAGCAGACGGACTCTATCTGTGTCCGTAGCGCACAGCGAGAGCACAGGCACCAGCAGCCCGCCCAGCTCGAGCCAGCCCGGGCTCCTCGTCCGCCTCCTGTTCCTCCATCAGGCTCAGCTGCTCTTCACTATATTGCGGCTCGTAAAGATAGCCACGAACAGCGGATTCGAGCAGCAGAATTTCAAAATCCTCTTCTTCCATATCATGTTTAGTTTCTTCTGTCATTGTCGTAACTTCCTATCTCCACAGCGCTTGTTAGCTTAGCTTATAAACAAGATGGCTGATATTGAGTATCTGCAAGTGAAGTCCCACCCACTGATCTGTGACAGCTCTGTTAGCGCATTAGGTCCAACCCCCTATGGGCGGGTTTGAAAGGGTGGGAATTTGTGCTTGTAGTCTATACAGAAATCCCCCCTTTTTACACTTCCTCCTACAATGACGTCAAATGACGATTTTTGCGTCATTGTAGGAGGAAGTGAAAAAGGTAAATAGTGGATTTCTCTTGTCTCAGGGGAAAATGAAAGAATGTTGCACGACCATTCAATAGTATGACTGGTTGTCTAACAATGGACCTCTTAATGCAAATGGGTGAAGTTTTTTTTTTTTTACAAAGATAATTTAAATGAAGTTCCTAAACGTAAGTTAGGGAGGAGCGAGCCCATCCAATCTTTCAATCAACAAACAGAGTATATAAGCTGCCGCTTACCTCTCCCTAGTATCAGCTGTTCCAGTATCCCTCCACCTCCCCAAACTCCACCTTCATCTTAGGTACCTTGCCCTTTAATTAACAGGTCCTACATTTAGCCATGGGGGGGGGGGGGGGGTATATCAGAGCTCGAGTTGAAGCTGCTTCATCGAGCCCCTCTCCAGCGGACAGCAAGCCAAATAAGTTTAACCTAATATCTTAAAGATTTTATGGGCAAACGAACTCATTAAAATCATATACAACTCACTTAGTAACCCACAGATATTACAATTTTACTAAGTATTTGTGATGGACAAAGCTTGGGGACAGTAAGTTTTTTTATTGCTTTTGAAAGACGTTTCTTCTGCTCACCAAGACTGCATTTATTTGGTCAAAAATACAGTTAAACAGTAATATTGTGAAATATTATTATAATTTAAAATAACTGTTTTCTATTTGAATATATTTTAAAATGTAATTTACTCCTGTGATCAAAGCTGAATTTTCAGCATCATTACTCCAGTCTTCAGTGTCACATGATCCTCTAAATCACTCTAATATGATGATTTGCTACTCAAGAAACATTTCTGATTATTATCAACGCTGAAAACAGTTGTGCTGCTTCATATTTTTGTTGAATCAAACCTGTATTAGTTTATTTTATCTGTTGAACACAAAATAAGGTATTTGAAAGAATGTTGTAACAGACAGTTGACGGTAGCCATATTTTTTTCCTACTATGTAAGTATAATCCACTGTTTGATTACCCAGCAGAAGAAAGAAACTCATACAGGTTTGGAACAACATGAGAGTGAGCAAATGATGACAGAATTAAAAAATGTTTTGAGTGAACTATCCCTTTAAGAAAGTAATTGGTTCCATTTTGCTTCCATGTTGTCTTGAAAAGTGTTTTCTCTCTCTCCATCACAGAGCACCCAGAGGGATGTGCGCTGTTTTTCATGTGCGGTGTGTGTGCGGGTCTGTTCCTCACACTCTTCGCGCTGGTGGTTCAGATTTCCTGCCGTACAGACTGTAAACGTCATCACAGCGTCGCTAAGAAGCGGCCGAGACCCACGGACTCCGCCAGCGACAGCAGCGACTCTGATTCTGACTGGGACTCGAGCTCAGACCTGTCGGCCCGCCGGCACCGGCGCTTCGAGCGCACGCTCAACACCAACATCTTCACATCGGCGGAGGAGCTGGAGCGAGCGCAGCGGCTGGAGGAGAGAGAGCGGATCATACGGGAAATCTGGATGAACGGACAGCCCGACGTCCCGGGAACGCGTAGCTTGAATCGCTACTATTAGATCGGACACATCCAGATGTGAAGCTTCTACCGGGAGTTTTCTGAACGCTAAAGTGTTTGCCACGTGTGGCATTAAACTACACATTTCCTTTGCAGTGGAAATAAGCTCTTGGTTGAGGCGTGATTTATCCGTAACCTTCGCTATGCAGAGGTGAAAGGTCAAATGCTGCGTTCCCTACAGTCGCATGTGGAAATATTCCTACTTGATGTCCAACATCTCGCAGTTTTGAATTTACCCAAGTTGGAAGTGTCGTTCCGCTGAACTTCCCAGTAGGAAGTTGGACATTCCAGTTTTTAGTGCAGCTGAAGCTAAGGCTCATGGGAGATGTAGTTCACTTGAGTCTGAGAGGTGTGATAAGCTCTAAGCACTGTGATTGGTCCTTCACTCTGCCTGTCAAACAGTGAGGACCGCCTTCTGTGCGGAGAGGCGTCAACAAATTAAGTGCCTTACAGTTTGATCTGACAAAATACACATACAGTGGGACTAAAATGTATTTGGACACTTACACATATCTGAATGTCATTGCATTAGCAGACAAATATAACAAACCAGGCTGCATTTCCAAACAAATGATGCTAGAGCTTCAATTTTCTGCATCACAACAAGTGTCACAATGCATTGTTCGGTAACACTTTAAAAAAAGGTTCCATTTGTTAACATGAACTAACAATGAAATATATTTTAAGGTATTTATTCATCTCAGTTAATGTTAATTTCGACATTTACTAATAGATTATTAAAATAATTGAATGAAAACTGTATTTTATTTAATGAGAAAAAAATCTTTAAAATCTGTTAATATTAGTTATGGAGCTAAACAATGAAATGTTTTTTATTAACTAACGGTAACTGATTTGTAACATATGTATTGCACATTATTAGTTAATTTTAGTCAATGCATGAGACCTTATTGTAAAGTGTTACCCATATTTCATCTTTATCACTAGATAATTAAATCATCTATCATATTTTTTATGTTTTGCTTAAAGTCTGCTGCCATTCTTTAAAATAAGTGCAACTTGGTTTGATATTTTACTATCAAATGCAATGACATTTGTACATTTTTAAGGGTGACTTAAGTGTCCATATATACATGAAATTATTTTATATTTAAAAAGTTTTTGATACCACTATTTTTTTGGATGAATTATTTTTATACTGATTGCTCAGGGATGCAATCCAAGTGTTCTGTGTATAATCTGTTCTTAAAGGGGACGAGAGACATTCAGATGTTCCTGCATATATGCAACTGTAGCCTCAAAGAGGTTCTTATAGGAACGTGATGCACATCAGCGTCGGGCCTTCAACACAAAACACAGTTAATCACTCGATGACTTTATTCAACGCTTTCTGTGTGTTACGACTGTGGTTAATGTGTTTCAGTTTCTGTTACATGACATGAGGAATTCATTCTGATGATACTAAACCATCAATAACTTACTTTACGTTCTTAAAAATAAAGGTTTTGTAAAAAAAAAAAAAGCACTACAGGTAGATAGACTACCATTTACCTTTCCTTTACTCAAAATGTATTGCATTGTGACTTTGAAATGTTTAACATATGTAAATTAGGCAACATCTTATTTATCCCTCTCTGGTGCTCTTCGCATGGTGGTCAAAATTTTTCGATTTTTCTTTTTTTAATTTTAATGAAATGAAAATACTTTATTTAAATTTTTTTTATTTAATATTTTGTATTGTATTTTATGGTACTAAATTATATTAATGCAGTAGTTATAATAATCCATTTATTCACTTTTTGAGCATAGACCTGAAAATGAAATTTCCAGCTTGAATCCTTTGGAGCACAAGTGAACCTAAAGTTATAGAATTTTACATTTATTGTTATAAAAAATGCACAAATATAGTATTTACAATTTTTAAATGAATTATATATTTTCCAACACACGTTTACTCTAAAACTGTGAGAAAATCAAAGCCATAAATCTAAACAAGCTGTGTTTCAAATTTGAGGTTGATATCTCCAAAGAATGAGCTTTCAGTAAGATTTTGTTTGGGCGCAGTACCAAACGCTTCCACTAGATGAAATTTGCCTCCCATTAATTTCCAATGCGCTCATTTTTTATTGCGAACAATACAAGTGTGACTATTTTTTTTTCAGGACCATTGAACCTTTTCGAATCCTGTCCATGATTTTTTGTGTGCGTGTTCACATAGCAAGTGCCAAAACCTCTACCAAGTTTTGCACCATTCCGAAAAAAAAAAAAGTAAAATCTTTCGGTCAAAAATGCCTGAAGAGCACCAGAGGGTTGTTAATATTCTTAGAAATTGAATATTATATCAAAAGTGATTTAGGCCCCACAGAAAAAGTCAAAAGAAAATGTGGTCAAGAACTCAGCAGGTGTATATTTATTTAAATATTAAAGATAAAAAAAATTAAATAAGACATTTGATTGAAATTTTATAAAATGAAATAAATAAAATAAAAATAGCACATTTTCAGCAATACCTACAATTGATCCCGGATCTCTAACTATTGTTAAAAAAAAGACCGATTTTAATAGATTGATAAGATTCTGACAAAGCATTATAGTAAGTCATAAAAGTCTGGTAAAGCCTGTAGTCACCGTCCTCTCGCTGGAACCTTTATTTTTAGGAGCCCATGCCCACACAGCGTTCATTTTATAAGTAATATTTAAGGTTTTTATTCTCTTGACACTCAAACCAAGCCAAAACATGAAGTGACTCAACATTTGTATGCATGTGGATTGTTTGTTTGCACCTGAGCTCTTAAATCTTGTACAGCAGCAGGATGTTTGCGTTGTACACCATCACAGACTTGTTTGTTTACTGCTGTTGTTTTATTTTGCAGTAATATTTCAGCATGGCTTTTATAGGAATATCAGCTCATGTACAGAGCAGGACCTGTGCAAGGTTTTGTTTTGATTGTTATGGAGCTTTAAATAAACTGCATTGAATAAACTGAACTTATAGCGCCACCTGTTGGTGAATGATTCACATTGTGCATGAAAGGAATTGTTTACATCACCATGACTACTGCCAGTGTTTGTGGTCTCCATGGAGGCAGATATAAACAAACCTCCTCAGGGAAGAGCAGCAGTTCCCGTGAGAGAACAAGTTATATTAACTTATTTTGGTTACTTGCCTTTTAATATAGATTAGAGTAATTAGCCATTATGTCTATAAATACAACACATGGGCTTCCTTTCCTGCCAGGCAACACTTTTCGCAATTTAACGGTGAGAAACTTTCAAAGTTAATATGACCTTTAGGCCCATATTAACTTTGCTGTGTTGTTTTCTTTTGTAAAATCTAATTCTGCATTTTTAAATCTTTATAAATGTTCCTAAATGCAATTCTTAGATTCTTTTTGCTGGAAATTAATTATTCATTCTTTTTTTTTTCAAGGAGCATTATGTAAATGCACAGTATGTATGAGACATGCTGATATTATATTGTTATACATTTACCCATTATTTCTGTATGCTGTTCTTCAGAAATCCGCTTTCCACAGAGCTCAGACTCTTGATTTTAAGAACGGTTATGCTCTGCCCCGGCGGCCCGCGGTCGGTACAGGACAAGAGCCTCTTCTGTCAGTGAACATCAGTCACAGTGAGAGGAACCAGCTGATCAATGACATCCCGAACCTGACCTACGGTACAGACACACACCGACACCCACCGCTACAACACATACCGGCACACGCTGCTTATGACAAGAAGGTGAAGAGTCATCTATCTATTTATCTATATATATGCATCTATCTATCTATCTATCTATCTATCTATCTATCTATCTATCTATCTATCTATCTATCTATCTATCTATCTATCTATCTATCTATCTATCTATCTATCTATCTATCTATCTATCTATCTATCTATCTATCTATCTATCCATCTCGTTGAAACAGAACCAACCTCTCACCTTTACTCTTTGTCTTCCAGGTTCTGCGTTTTTACGGTTTCTTCCGGCAGGAAGTGTTGCACTCCCCAGATGAGCACTTTCGCGTTCGTCCGGTGGTGATTTATTATCACTTGGACGATGACAGCATGTGTGTGATCGAGCCACCGGTGGAAAACTCGGGAATTCCACAGGGAAAACTGATCAAACGGCAGAGGCTGATCAAAAACCAGCGCGGAGATCTTTACCATTGGAAAGACCTTAATGTTGGGATGGACATGAGTTTGTTTGGAATAGACTACAGGATAACACAGTGCGATGCCTTTACACAGGTACACACACACACTGACTATAGACTGCTGCTTCTGATGGTTAGGTTTGACTGAACGTGTGTGTGTGTGTGTGTGTGTGTGTGTGTGTGTGTGTGTGTGTGTGTGTGTGTGTGTAGGACTTCATGGAGAGTCAGGGAATAGTACTAAATGAGTCGGAGTCCATTCCCAGTGACCCGTACACCATCCGCCGCATTCAGACACAACAAACTCACATCACACCTTACGACCACAATCATCAGCTGGAGCGGTTCCTCGCCCTGGATCGACAGGTAAACAAACACACACACTCCTGTGTGTTCGCCCACACATCAATTAATTCTCTCACTCATCATTTCTGTGGTCTCGTGTGTATTTCCAGGTGCTGCGCTTCTTTGCGCTTTGGGACGACTCGGACTCTCTGTATGGAGAGAAACGGCCTGTAACGCTGCATTACTATCTTGTGGATGATTCTGTTGAGATCTGTGAGCATCACGAGGCCAACAGCGGCCGGGACCCATTCCCAGTTCTGCTCCGCAGACAGAGGGTTCCCAAACACATCAAACCAGCCTGTGGTGAGACCATAAACACACACAAGTCAAGACACATTCATCTGCATAGCGCTTTTCACAATACACATTACAGCATCCATCCATCCATCCATCTATCGATCTGTATAAAGTTGGACATACTTATACATCCAACTTTATTTAAAGAGCTGGACAATAATATAGTTAGTCACAATTTGTGACAAAAAAAAAGAAATGTAGTTGATATTTGCTTTATAGTCCTACTGTAGTACATACTGATTTACGGTAGTGACCTCTATGTATGTGGATAAAGTTGGATTTAGTATATCTTTTGGTTACTTTATATAGAGAGCTGTCAGAGCCGATAGCCTCGTGGGCAGCGCTCTGACATGTAGCGTGGTTGCGCTTCGGGGAACCCGAGTTCAAGTCCTGGTGTTGTGCCGAATCTCCCTGCCAAATTATTACCCTCCTCGTTGAGTCTGATATCTGATTACTTAATCCTAACCACAATCCTAATAATCTAGAAGGGTCAGAATTCGTTACAACACCGACTTGGGGACCTTTCCCGATTCCATTCCCCTCTTTCTCCCACTTCACTTCCTGTTGATTATCTACACTGTCCTGTCTCAATAAAGGCAAAAATTCAGTTACATTTTAGGAAGGGATGGTAATATCCCTTGGTTTATTGCACTTTCCTGAGATGAGTGAGAAACAGACGTGGAGGTACTAGGGATATAGGGAGGGAAGTACAAAGCTTCATTGGGGTTATCAGGTGGGCCCCCTATTTCCTTGGCATTTCGATGATATATGCCCACGACACCTCCAGAGTCCCAGCTGTGCCCCCCTCTGCTTTTACCCCACTCAGTGCCTCTGTTGTTACAGGGCCCAGCCGATATCCATCCTCTTAATCCAGAGCCACAGACTTGCTTGTTCAGCGGCGTTGGAGAGGGCCTTAACAGCTTGCCGTTGGGCTTGGTCTCAGATTCCTAAGTCCTTAAGAATTTTGATGACAGATTTACCAACAAAGCCTCGACAGCCAACCTCAACAGGGCAAACCTTTGCTTTCCAGCCACGTTGTTCCACGTCGGCTGCTAGCTCAGCATACTTAAAGGATTAGTTCACTTTTTAAAAAACTTTTGCTGATAATTTACTTACCCCCATGTCATCCAAGATGTCCATGTCTTTCTTTCTTCAGTCGAAAAGAAATTAATGTTTTTGATGAAAACATTCCAGGATTTTTCTCCATATAATGGACTTCAATGGTAGCCAAACCAAGGTCTAAATGACCGTTTCAGTTCAGCTTCAAAGGGCTTTAAACGATACCAGACGATGAATAAGGGTCTTATCTAGAGAAACGATCTGTCATTTCAAAAATAAATAAAAAAGTTAAAGTTTTATAGGCACAAATGCTCGCCTTGCGAACTCTCCTGTTCGAACTCGTTCATCAAAATGAACGAATCTTTTTTTGAGTCGTTGACTCGTTCATCAAAATGAACGAATCTTTTTTTGAGTCATTGACTCGGAAAAAGATTCGTTCATTTTGATGAACGAGTTCGAACAGGAGAGTTCGCAAGGCGAGCATTTGTGCCTATAAAACTTTAACTTTTTTATTTATTTTTTAAATGACCAATCGTTTCGCTAGATAAGACCCTTATTCATCGTCTGGTATTGTTTAAAGCCCTTTGAAGCTGCACTGAAACGGTCATTTAGACCTTGAACCGTTTGGTGCCCAGCAAAGTGCATTATATGGAGAAAAATCCTGGAATGTTTTCATCAAAAACATTAATTTCTTTTCGACTGAAGAAAGAAAGACATGGACATCTTGGATGACATGGGGGTGAGTAAATTATCAGCAAAAGTTTTTTTTAAAGTGAACTAATCCTTTAAGGCTCTTACGCTCATAGGCCTCCTCCACAGCATCCTTCCAGGGCACAGTAAGCTCTATGATATACACACGTCGGAGTGTGGAGGACCAAAGCACAAGGTCTGGTCTTAGACTAGTAACTACAATTTCGGGTGGGAAACGAAGCCTCTGGTTCAAGTTAGCTAACAGATTCCAGTCACAAGCTCCACCCAGCTGGCCAGTATCTGAGGTCTTCACTTTGACCTCCCTTGCCCCTACCCCCACAAACTCCTTTCTTGGAGCACGAAGACATAACGGAGGAGGTAAGGCATTGATGGAGGACCGTCCGGAGTCCAATGACGCTGCAAGACACTTCCGTACCTGGTTGTGCCTCCACTTATAGCGACCTTGCATCAAGCTTACCTTGCAGCCAACTAAGATGTGCTTCAGATTAGCTGGAGACGAACAAAGGGGGCGCCAAACTGTTGGTATCTCTTGTTTCCGCCACACCACTTTCATCAGCCTCCACAAAAAGGTAGGACATCTGGTGCATTTTTATACACCCTGTAGGGAACTCCATTGGGCCCAGGAGAGGAGGCAGCTCTTGCCTGACGCACAGTTCTTGTCACTTCATTCCACCAGGGAGGACTATCATACAGCTAATGTTCTGAAGCATGCAGTGGTGGCATGTCAGGTGGAAGTGTAATCTGCTCGCACTGCCGAATATCGGAGTGGGTGGTTTTTAAGTGAACATCTAACTCCTTCCTTGATGTTAAGAGTCTCCCACTCTTCTACTTTGTCAGCAGACTCTTCACAAACCTGAAGGGGTCTTTAAAGAAGTTTGTTCTTGCCCAATCTTTCTTTCTGTTCCTCATTCTTAGGCTCTCAGCTCTCCTTAACACCGTTAACCGCTTCTTTATTTCATCCTGCAAAAGATTTATTCCCTCCTTCTCCTCCTCTACTGCTTTCCTCCACTGTTTCTTAAGCTGCCTTCTATCCTTGACCAGCCGGTCGATCTCCCTCTGCCGTCTGGACTTAACAGGACTGGGCAATGTTTTCTCCCTCATCTCTACAACTCCATATCGCTCAGCTCCATAGGTGTAGATTATCTCTCCCATTTTTTCCAGTTTCTTTACTGTGCTTCCCACTCTTTTTTTTACAGGTTTTTGACAAGTGGCTCTCGCCCCTGGGTCTTGGTTTCAGTCGTAGGCTGGGGTAGATTAGCCCTGCTGGACTCTTCTGTGCTTGACTCCTCCGCTTCTGGGACAGGGGGGTTGATGTCCTGCAGACTTTGGGGGTTTTCCTGCTGCTTCACTTCACTTGACTTACTCGACTTACTTCTCAAGAAGTAGTGGTCGATGCAGGGTCCTTGTCCCTGCGTCTTTACACACTTATTGCGGCCTTGGTGTATTTTAAGGCCTGCAACAGAATGTTACCTTAGCTCAGCCACAACTGCAACTCTTGAGCTTATTGTCTTGAGTAGATTTTATAGACTCAGGTTTAGTGCTGATCATTACTCTCATTGTCTGTTCCGTTCCGAGGTCAATTACAATATTGTCTACCGAGGAGTCATCTCCCACCCCCGCTCTCGCTGACTCTAGAGGTATTTTCTTCCTTGATCTACTCGTAGCCATGAATGGGTAAATATAGAGCTGTGCAATATATAGTTCTGTCATGAAACTCTAGATAGCACAGGCTGATAGGTCCTTAACTGCTCTATCAGTAGCCAATGAGCTCGCTGCTCAACCTTCAAATACTGTTCAGCATTTTCTGGAACAGTTGCAGCGCACTTTCAGAAATCCTCCACCTCCCCCAGCTCCACCTGTATATATCTGCTAAGGGTAATTCATGTACGCTATATTGTACAGCAGCAGCATGTCTTACTTGCTCACAGCATCACATCTCGTACAGTATGTATTGGCAGAAGCAATTCCTATGCTTGCTCTGAAGCAGCAGCAGCAATAACAGCAGCAGATCAATTTCCGCCGTGACCAAACATATCAACATTGTCATATCCATTACCATGCCAAACACTCATAGAGTTGTCACGACCGAAATATAGTTTACAGAACTAATTTTAACACAGAGACAAACCTGCTTCAGTTTTGTTGCTTTTTATGTTTATAGAAGTTTGGACACAATAAATGACTAAATTCATATTTCACATGACATAATCAATATATTAACACAGAATCCTGAAACATCTCTCTTTCTTGACTCAGAGCCATTCCCCAGCAGTGTTCTGGAAGTTTCCCCTCATGATGTGGAGGAGTATTTCTCTCCTCAAGACTTCAGGGTCGGTGAGGAGGTCCTGCTGATGGGGAGGCGCTTCCTGCTGTATGACTGTGACAACTTCACCCGGAAATACTTTCAGAAGAATCACCCCGACATCTTGCTAAAACCGTTTACTGTTGACACTAGGACACCACAAGAGATCAAGAGGGTAAGATACATTCTCTTGATTGGGCTAATCTCATCTAAAAGTTAAATTATATTTAGTATGCAAAAGTGATATATCTGGCACTTTCCACATATAGGGTACACTCATGTTCTAAGTTTGCGCCACAGTCGTCTTGGACTTTCTGACATATAGTGGTGTGAATGAAGCATCGCGCAAATGTTTTCAATTAGCGATGCCATTGCAGAAATACACCATTCAGAGTCAGCAGCTATGATTAATGCATTATCCCACTCATCTTTTCAGCAAATGGTCTTCTTTAAAAAAGAAAAGAAAAAAATATTATTAACAAAATAAAAATTGATTATTTAATGTTTGTACATTTTCAGAATATAACAAAATGTTGCAAAAATGACTTTTATAAATAAATGGTACTTTTTTTTTCTTTTCTTTGTTTGCTTAAACGCTAATTAATTACTGAAAAATACACAAAAAGGCCTATTTTGTACCCTATTCACGGAAAATGACCTTATATTTTCTATCCAGACTGTTTTTTAGGTAAATTATGTGTTTCATTATCCTTCCCTCCATCTCTTCATCCATATATTCAGTCTGTCCATGAGTTTTCTGAAAGAACGCATGATTTTTATTTTGGTGATGATGTGTCATGTTGTCACGCAGGTAATTCCTCCGTATAACGGCTTCGGTTCTCTGGAGGACTCGTTACAGAACTGTCTGTCTCTGGTTCCTGAACCGCCCAAGAAAGATGTGATCAAACTGCTGGAGAACGACCACAAAGTCCTGCGTTACGCCGCACGGCTGGTGAGAATGCACCTTATTTGCATAATCTTCAAACGGACTATTGTGCTAAAACAACGCAGACAGCGTGAGCAAATAAACATTTGTTCTAAAGTGGTCTGGAATACTCAATTCTGATTCGTGATTTGAGGAATCATCCGCTCTACCGGTACTACTTTCATGTGTTTCGTATCACTCCGCGGACTCGCACTCCTTTTTTAATACAATGGCAACAGGCGCCATATTCCGTGTTTGCAATGAAAATCATTGTGACTTTAAAGGTAGGGTAGGCAATTTTCGGAGACATTAGCTGGTTGTTTTGGTTCAGGAGGAACTGTTAAAGGTGGCTGCTGTTTCGGTTGCACTGACGTCTGTCTAAGTCTAACTCATAGCATCAAACGCGATGATAATGTGTTATGTCTGCGCGAGCAATACATACATTGACAGGCAGGTAGCAAAGACAGGTAGGACAAAGACAAAGACAGGCATGGAGCAAATGCAATGATTGGACAAATATGTCATGGTCCTACGCCTTCCACAGATTATATATCTATCTATCTATCTATCTATAAATTACAGGAACGTCTGTCTGTCTGTCTGTTAATCGAATATCTCTCGAACCGTTAGTCCGATGGATTTCAAACTTGACAGGTGTCTTGCTACGGGCATGCGTAAGTGCAGTGCCGAGTTTGACATTGTTTGGATTAGAAATGCAAAAGATATCGTTAAATATATCAGTAAAAGAAGCACACATTAAAGTTGTGGTTTAAAAATAAACATTCTGACATTAGAGAGGGTTGTGGTTTAAAAATTGTACAAATAAACATTCTGTCAGCTAAACATTAAGTCAGCTACACTGTTTACTTCTGAAGTAAAAAAAAAAAAAATTTTCGAGAACTGTAGAAATTCTTTTCAAGGTTGTTATTATACATTTATTACAATGTAATTATACATTGTTTACAGTGTTATTATATATTTATTACAATGTAATTATACATTGTGTGGAACAACGTAAGATGGGCTGGCAAGACCTTTGGTCAATGGAAGAGAGTAGGATCAGTTTCCTTATTAGGTCAACATATGATGTTCTCCCATCACCGCAGAACCTAAACCTCTGGGTAGGAGAGGATCCCTCTTGTCCTTTGTGTTCATCACCTGCCACATTAAGGCACATTTTGACAGGATGTAAGGTGGCTCTTAGCCAAGGTCGGTTTACTTGGCGCTAGGGATGTAACGATTCACTCATCTCACGATGCGATACGATTCACAATACTGGTTTCACGATACGATTTTCTCTCGATTTTTTTAACAAATGAGATTTAAGACAAAAGTGTCCCTTTTATTATTTCTCAGACAAAATGCTGCACATTTCTTTTTAATTTAAAAAAATATTTGTCAAATAATAAAACTACATTAAAAAGATTCCCTTCAAGGTTGTTTCAACTCAGTCTTCCTGTCTGTTTGGTCAAGAGGCTGGACACTGGTACCTTCGCACACTATGTAAAAGACTGTGTAAAATTAGTACCAGATTGACAGGGGTTTTACATTGTAATAAAGGCAAGATTCTAATTTTGTTATAATTTGTATCATTACACTAGTAAGAGTTAAAAAAACACATTTAGAGAAAGAGGTAGTAAAATAAATACAACACCTGGTTGCCACGGAAACACCGATGCACCTTGTGATCTCCGTGGCTCTCGCAATTGTCGTATTAATAACTTTTACATGAAAACGGAGGTGACTGGTGCTTCACACGGTGGGGATTATTATTAGTCTACGGAAAGTCAAAATGCCGCCACACCTCCGATTTGAATGAGTCAACGTCAACATCTACGCTTGCCGTCGCCATGTCTACTGTTTGACGGCGCGTGCACACCGGTCTATGGCACACACTGGCGCGGCGCGAGCGGAGCAAACCGAGCGTTTTCAGTTCATTCGTATGGAAGTTGAGCTTGGCTCACACAAGATCAAGTTCCATGAATTAAGTGAAAACACTCGCTAGCTTCACGCCAGTCAGTGTGTGCTCGCTGCTATTGTGCCTGTAAAGCGAGGTTTACAACTTCACAGTAGGCTATACAGTAAACGCGAAAAATAAACAATGAGTCCGCACACCAGAAAATGCTCCTAAGTGAATTTAATAGTTGCTCACCACGTGTAACGTTTCGGGCCCAAGCCCTTCATCAGACAGTAAATGCGCCCTGCTGTTTAAAACGTGTATCGCGATTCGTTTAACATTTCAACCGACTTGAATCGTCACACATATTTATCGATTTTCAACCGGTTGCGAGTGAATCGTTACATCCCTACTTGGCGCCATGACCAAGTACTGCGATGTTTGGCTTTAGCATTAAAAGGCAAGCGTAACATGACCAATAAGTTGCCACCTGTTCTAGCAAGACATTACACGCAGAAGACAATATTCCTCCGCCCAGGCGAGCAACCACCAAGAAAAAGTGTTAACACCAATTCTCGCCCAGGACAACTGGAAGCTGCTAGGGACTGGAAGATGCTGGCTGATCTTGATCAACGGCTTATTTTTCCACCTGAGATTGCCACCACTAACCTACGACCAGATATTGTTTTGTGGTCTGGATCAGCACGCATTGTTCAACTGATAGAGTTAACAGTGCCATGGGAGGATGCGGTAGATGAGGCATATGAGAGGAAGAAACTGCGGTATGCTCATCTGGCCACTGAAGCAGAACAGTGAGGTTGGAGAGTCCAGGTTTATCCAGTGGAAGTGGGTTGTCGAGGTTTTGTGGCACACTCTACAACCCGGTTCCTCAGAGACATCGGATTCAGCGGCCAAGAGTTGCGTCGCACAGTAAAGAACTTATCTGAAGCAGCAGAAAGGAGCAGCAACTGGCTGTGGTTGAGACGGAAAGATTCTAGCTGGCTGTGTGCAGGCCGCCACGCTACGGTTTCGTAGAATTCTTGAAAACTTGAAGAGTCTGTTGGTTTATTTGTATACGTTCCTGTGGATATTGCGTGAATGGCGGGTGGTTGGGCAGATATTGTGTTTTGCGGTAGGTGGTATGCCATATGGAACCGTTGTCCACTGAAACTGCATATTAACGCACCAGTGGGGCTCGACAGCCTTAGTCAAACGGGTTGGCGCGTATGGTCGGGTTGCGGAGAGATTGTGAGATTGTGGTTAGGTCTCAGCAGCAGGAGGGATGTAGAGGTCAGTAAGCTGGACTGAGTTAAGTGGGGGACGGAGGGGGGTGACTCTGGGACGCCAGAGTCACTGTCGAGTAGGGTTGGGTACCGAAACTCGGTGCCAATAGGGAACCGGTTCCGACGTAAACGGTAGTAATCAGACCGAATAAGAACGAAAATTTCGGTGCCTGATTTCGGTGCCTAACTTCATTAGGCACACACCACACACACACACACACACACAAGGTCTCTCGCTCTCCCTCTCTCCGCCGTGCGTGTGCTACACAGTTTGGAGCACAGTTTCTTCTGTCTCGCATGCGCGCTCTTTCTCACAAGGTTTGGCTGCATTTCACGTGTAAAATTACGTGTCAGAACGCCCTCTGGGTGTGCCGATCTGCCGATAGTCTGAATCCCATATAGAATCAAGCCAATTCATTGGCTGATGGCGCGGGCGCCGCATCGACGCACTTACGTCGTCATACTATGTTGGCGCGCGCGCGCCATCTGCTCCTCAGATTTCTCTGCCGAAAAAGGAAGCTGGTCGGCAGCGCGAGGAGCTTGGCAGCGTCCCGTTCCCTATTGAGAGATATGTTACACCAACCAGAGATGTTCTCTTTCATAGGTTCACTCAACGCTGCGTAGCTAAGAAGCAGTGGATTTGTATTTGTAGGCTGCTGTATCACGTGCCGTTTGAACTGACGCGCTACAGCGATCTGTCACATTTCAAAGAGCCAAAACGTTATTTATTGTGTGAATCTCGTAAAAATATTGACAGAATCTGACAGCTGTGGATTTGTTCCATATCAAAAGTAACCTTCTCTGTCTTGTCTGTCAGTGTCCTCTTTGTCCGCGATTTTTCTGTGTGAAAAGGGTCATTTGCGTGAGTCTCACGGTCAATGCGTGAGAGTTGGTAGCTCTGCCTGCTAGTAATCTCTATTAATCTCCAGTATTATTACATTGTTTGATACAATATTGTTTTATTTGATATTATGTAAATATGAATTTTTATTTTATATTGGTTTTATTATTACCATATGTTACTTGTATTTATATTGTTTAAAGATTTAAGTTAATATTGTGTCCAGTTTGGCCCTGTAAATTAAAGGGTATTATTTTTTGATAAAGTGTGTGCGGTTTCATTTTCTTAAGTACCGATTTAAGAACCGTTTAAGCACCGGAACCGTTTAAAAAATACCGAGTAGGTACTGGAATCGGATAAAACCCAAACGATACCCAACCCTACTGTCGAGCCCTCTTGAGGTGTCGTGGGCTAGTCGAGGAAACACTGAGGACGGAAGGTGCCCACTTGAAGACCCTAGAGATGTCCCCTACTCGGCTCAATCCAGACGGTTGTCGAGCTGGTCCTGTAGTTGCAGCCGTCGCGTGTGCTGACGCGCCAAGTACACTGCAGCCGTTAACGCCGGACAGAAGGGGAGTCACACCACCATATGGAAAGAAGCGTAAATGGATGGAGAAGCATAGTTTACTGTAAAGCTACGTCTTAGTTTTGCTTATCTTGGCGAAAGCCGTGTACAAATCAGCATGAAGTTTTAACATCTACTCTCGTGAAATGGAAACCTTACATTTATTATAGTGTTATTATACATTTATTACAGTGTTATTATACATTTGTTACAATGTAATTATACATTTATTACAGTGTAATTATACATTTGTTACATTATTATTATTATACATTTGTTACATTATTATTATTATTATTATACATTTGTTACATTATTTTGTTAAATTATTCTTTTTGAAAAAAGTAGCGATTCTTTTAGAAAAAGTAGCAATTCTTTTTTGAAAAAGTAGCGATTAATTTTTGAAAAAGTAGCGATTCATTTTTGAGTATCGATTCACTTTTGAAAAAGTATCGATTCACTTTTGAAAAAGTAGCGATTAATTTTTGAAAAAGTAGCGATTCACTTTCGAAAAAGTATCGATTCACCTTCGAAAAAGTAGTGATTCATTTTTGAAAAAGTAGCGATTCTTTTCTGAAAAAGTAGCGATTCTTTTTGAAAAAGTAGCGATTCTTTTTTTTTTTTTTAAAGTATCGATTCACTTTTGAAAAAGTAGCGATTCATTTTTGAGTATCGATTCTTTTTTGAAAAAGTATAGATTCACTTTTGAAAAAGTAGCGATTCATTTTTGAAAAAGTATAGATTCATTTTTTTTAAAGTAGCGATTCACTTCCAAAAAAGTATCGATTCACTTTCGAAAAAGTAGCGATTAGTTTTTGAAAAAGTAGCGATTCTTTTTTTTTAAGTAGCGATTCACTTTTGAAAAAGTAGCGATTCATTTTTGAGTATCAATTCTTTTTTGAAAAAGTATAGATTCACTTTTGAAAAAGTAGCGATTCATTTTTGAAAAAGTATAGATTCACTTCCGAAAAAGTAGCGATTCATTTTTGAAAAAGTAGCGATTTAACTGAATCTGTAAGTCAGCTACACTGTTTAATTCTGAATATTAGATTTTATTCTGCTGCGCTTAACGTTAGTGTAAAAGTAGCTTAGGCTATTCAGCAACTCAAACATACCAAATCAACAATTACTAAAAACTGATTTTGCACGGGCATTGCACTGGTATATATAAATACATTTGATCCACTTAACTTGGTGAATGCTATCAGACAAATCACCTACCCTGCCTTTAATAGGAGTAATATTGCTGCTGTGTTCGTCTTGTTGTTAGGCCAATTGTTTTGTTTAGTTGGTATAAGATTTAAGATAATATACAGGTAAAATTATCACATAAATATTACATCAATATTACATGTCCACAAATGTATTGATTTATTTAAGTAGCTTTCACTTGCATCAGGTCCTGTTCATCATGTCAAGGTTTATTTTGCGAAAATGACTACATTATTTCTTATATATCAATGTTATCATCCTCCTTAGGATTCCCAGAATCCCCTGGATGAGGGACGGCGCTTCGTTCTGTCTTACTACCTGTCTGATGACATGATCGGCATCTTTGAGAAATCCGCACATAATTCCGGCATCATCGGAGGAAAATTCCTAGAGAAGACTCGTGTCCCAAAACCAGGAAGCACGGTAGAAAACCCAGAATACTACGGACCAGCAGACTTCGCTATTGGAGCTACTGTGGAAGGTATAGATCGGAGACGAGACTTCCTGTGAATCGTCACACTTTTTTTCTTATGCTTATGTGTTCTTTCTGCTCTCCTTTGCAGTGTTTGGCCACCGGTTTGTCCTGACGGATGCTGATCGTTACGTGTCAAGTTATCTGGAGTCACTGTCCCATCACATCCCTGAACACACACTGTCTTCACTGAGACAGAAGACCTCAGACCAGGACGAGCAACGTGAAGGTAAAAAATATGTTTGGTTATGTGGTTTTTGCAACTACAGCCTTTCGGTTACATCTTTAACCAAGTGAAAAGGGGCAATGCACTATTCATGAAGTTCACCCAAAAATGAAAATTCTGTCATTAATTACTCACCCTTACGTTGTTTCAAACCTGTAAGATTTTCGTTCATCTTTAGGAACACAAGTGAAGATCTTTTTGATTGAAATCTGAGAGCTTTCTGTCTCTCCGTTGACAACTACCACTTTGATACTTAAAAAAAGTTCATAGAGATCGTAAAACGAATCCATATGAATTGAGCGGTTTAGTTCAAATTTTCTGAAGAGACTCGATCGCTTTATATGATGAACAGATTTCATTTAGTTTTTTTTTCACGTTTAAACATTCATCAATACACACATCAGTTGTGGTAAACGGAAGCTCAAGCATGTTCGCTTGAACCAATGAGGCTCATTCTTGTATGTTAAGCTTCCGCAAGGACCATTGAGGTTTGTTATCGGGCGTATAAACTGCTCAATTCACATGGATTAGTTTTACAATCTCTTCATGAACCTTTTGAAGATTCAAAGTGGTAGTTGCGTAGCTGTCAGAGGGACAGAAAGCTCTCAGATGATTTCATCAAAAATATCTTCATTTGTGTTCTGAAGATGAATGGAAAGTCTTGCGTGTTTGGAACAACATGAGGGTAATTGAGTTTCACAAGAAATCTTATTGAATGTTCTCTTCACAGCTGAGACAGATGGAGCTCCAGACCTCCTCCAGAGCTGAAATCTGCTGAGCAGTTCTGTCCGGTATAATGCTACCAACCCTCAAGACAGCAACAGATATCATCTGTGAAAATGACTTTTTTGTTTGTGCTTTTGGATGTTGTGTTTTTCCATGTCTTGTGATGTAAATGTGCAATAAAGACAGAGCAAAACAAGCATTTGTAAAATTAGTGTTATTGGGGTAATAATCTTTTACGTATGAACCTTGGACTTAGATTTATGAAAATCTTAAAGGTATAGTTCACCCAAAAATAATTAAGTCTGTCATTAATTACTCAACAAGAAAGACTTTTTGTTCATCTTCAGAAAATTAAGATCTTTTTGATAAAATCTGAGAGCTGTCTGTTTCTCCATTGACGGCTATGAAAATTGAGCTCCATTGAGCTTTCATGCAAAAAAAAAAAAAGGTATTTAGTATAAATTTGTTTTCAGTTTATGCTCGTTTTTATTTTTAGTATAAACAGACGATTCAAAATATGCTTCTTTTTCTTAATGTAAAACCATTTTCTCTTTTCAGATGAAATGTGACATTCTCATAAGTTACCCCATTACCAAATGTGAATTCTTTTCTGTCTGCCATTTCATTATCAGTTTATATGATTAAACAATGACGTAAATAAAAACAGTTGACATTTTTCTGTAAAGACAGAAAACTCAAAACAATGTTACCATTCAAAAAGGTTCAATATTTATAAAGCATCGTCATATACAATAAAATATCAAACTGCATGAACGTACAAAGCAGAAACTCCATAAACACTCATTACAGGAGAAAGACTGAGTGTTTGCTCTGATTCAGGGTCATTTCACTACTACAACACTTGTTCCTACCTCAAACCGGAAAAAAACGAGGATTTTCCTTGTTTCTTTGCCGGTTCTTTTTAGATTGTCACGTAAATATTTTGTTCATTACAAACTCAGAATGTGTGAAGTCTCACGTTAACACCTTTGATTCAAATCATCTCAATGAGTGTCCTTTCAAGGCCACCGTAGTTGCCACTTTTATACCTCAAATGCAGATGCAGAAAAACAAACTAACCTCAAAACAGCGCTTTAATAAAGAAAGACTGAGTGAAGTGTAGAAAACGTATGCAGAAGAAATAATGAATACTGAAACTGGAAAGAAGTTTAGAAACGTTGACAAGAGCCTGTTGAGGGTCCTGTTGTCACTTCCTCGGAGAAACGCCACATGCACTTCTCTTGGTGTGGTAACAGGAAGCAGATGATCTGTTTCCTGTGCCCTCGATGTGTGGAGGCCATCCGCTGGAACGAGGCTGAAGTTTACGGCGCTTTGATCTTCTTGAGACGAGGAGATGTGCCGTTCTCTGCTTTAATGAGTCCGTTCTCATGATGACCGACTGCAGAACACAAACAGCTCGTGTGAGAGAAGAAAAATGCAACGTCGCACACCAAACATAGTCACGTGTGTAACCGAAGACATCAGACCTACAAATCCTGTGCGTCACGTTTTGGCTTTCACACACAATAAAAGAATATTATTGCCCAGAGGCCAGGGAAAGTTCACCTAGAAACCTACACAAATTCTAAGCTACTCACAAAAGCTTTGTGTGAAGAACAAACCAACAGTTCAGCCATAAATCTTGCCTCCTGCAGTAGCTTGAAAATCGGCACGTCAGCACTGGTTACGACAGTATGGATGAGTAATTAATAACATTTCGGAGTAAACAATCTTTTAAGCTTACGGCTCAAATATATTTCAATTGTTCTAAATGATGAAGTCACACCAGATCATTCTTCTATTTCAAAGGCCATGTTCAGAAAACAGCAGAACACTGCTGTCAGTCTTGTATTTAAGTCCATAATATGGTTGTTAACACACAGTTTAGTTGCAAGACACTACTCGAAGTTGTGTGAACAGGACATTGAGATTCACACCTGTAAGCAAACGCGGTTGTCAATCCAAAATAACTGACAGTGTGCATGTAGCCAAAATCAGAACAAAACCAAGTTCGCTTGGAGTCATTTCTAGAGTTTGAAACTGCTTGCCAAAGCGAACTCAGAAAAGTCCACTCCGGCTCGGTAAACACATTTGAACGACCATTGGTTCATGATTACGTAACAGGTTTTTTAAAAACATAACATGAATTTATATTAAAAAAGGATATTTTAGAAAATATCATGTTCCAGTTAATACTTAATTTTGACACATTTTTCAGGTTAAATAAATTAAATGACTAGCACTATCACAAAAAAACAAAACAAAAAACAAATCTATTTTGTATTTTTATTATTGTTCCATTTATTAAAACCAAGTATATTTCTCAAGATTTCCCACCATTTTTACATAAAGTTACAGCGGAACAAATCATCTCTTGGAATTAAACCACTGGTGTCCCTGATTCCCGCTCAAACACTTGAGCGATTTATACACTTTTTAATGGCATATTTCATAATATTTGCATTGGTCTCTTTTTGTTCTGTGGATTATTTTCCCACCCTTGCCTCCTCAGTGGAAATATCACTGGCAAGTAGTTTTGACCACCCAAACCGAATTTTGTTTTGGCCTGATTTTGTTTGTTACGTCACACCAGTTTGTTCTTATATTTCACTTAAAGTATATCTGAGCCTTAAGCTTAAAAAAGATAGTTTATCCAAAAATGTTATGAATTACTCATGCACACTGTTGTAGCCAATAGTGACGTTTATTTTGATATTGAGAATGAAGCGTGCAGAACATATTTCAAATTCATCCAAACGTAGTTGGGATGTTCACTAACAGTATAACGATGGTCAGGTATTTCAAACTTCTTTTTAGCCCTAAGAAGATACAAGTATATCGGGGTCTAACTAGTGCAGTGTAATGTACCTGAATCTCGCTTCAGCGTGCGCTGCGACTGTTGTTTGGCGGCCGCTCTCTTCCGGGCCGCTTGCTCTAATCTCAGCTCACGTGTTCGGCTCAGCTGGAACCGGAAGAACTTCCAGAGCATCCAGGATTGAGTGAAACACACCATGAACAACACCAGCAGCCTGCATGTCAAACACACACACACACACACACACACACACACACAGCATTACTCTCATGTCTGGGTCTCTCGTGATGTACTGAACTACAATGAGCGTGAATGTCTGTCTCACCTGATGGAAAGAGTGTTGAAGTTTCCAGTCTCCAAATCAAGCATCTGGTTTTCAGAACGAGCCAAACCAAAGCCGACAGCCAGGAACATCAGAGTCAGAGTAATCATACGGGTCAGGACGAACCCAACGGACCACATCTCAAACCTACACACAAAACAAGCATATTTGCTGTTATATAGAGAGATTATGATATACACTACTGTCCAAGGTTTCAGATCAGTTTATGCTTTTGAAATATGTCTCTTCTCACCAAGGGTGCATTTAATTGATAAAAAATACAGTAATATAGTGAAATATTATTACAATTTAAAAGAACTGTTTTCCATTTGAATATATTCTAAACAAATTTATTCCTAAAGCTGAATTTTCAGCATCATTACTCCAGTCTTCAGTGTCACATGATCCTTCAGAAATCACTCTAATATGCCGAATTGCTGCTCAAGAAACATTTTTGATTATTATCAATGTTGAAAACAGTTGTGTAGCTTAACCGCGATGATGCATTCTCTTCCCAGGATTCTTTGATGAATAGAAAGTTTAAATCTTTACAGTCACTTTTGACCAATTGAATGCATCCTTGCAGAATAAAAGTATTAATTTCTATTAAAATGGTAATGTACACATTATTAAATTAAATCATGATTATAGGCATATGTCTGAGGAAGTTTGGCTCACATTTTGTGGTGGTTTTCATCAATGAAGTAGAACAGTCGAGACAGATGGAAGCCCATCTCAGAAAGATACTGCAGAAACAACAGAACCAGCCCGACCCGTGTCAAGCTGAAGAGAGATGAAAAATATATATTAAATCAATAATTCTTCATGCAAATATCTGATATTATACAGGTGTTAAATTAAAATGTTATTTGAATAAACTTGTTTTTAAAAACCCTTTTTAGCTTTTAGGGCTCACACGTTGTGGTATTGCTTGTGTAAATAACAGACATGGTACCAGTCTCATACCATAAAATACTTTTATACAGAGACAAGATCCCCAAACTAGTAAATACAAAAATCTCAAACCCATTTAAGGGTAAAAATGTAACTGATGTTCAACAAATAAAAAAACATAATACAGATGAATAAATGATAAAACCTTGTTTTGCTGAATATTAGATCACTTTCTACAAAAGCACTTATAGTAAATGATATGATCACAGATCATAACCTAGATGTGCTGTGTTTGACAGAAACCTGGCTAAAACCAGACAATCACATTACTTTAAATGAGTCCACCCCACAAGATTATTATAAACACGAGCCTCGTCTGAAAGGCAAAAGGGGGAGGTGTTGCTGTAATTTATAGTAATATTTTCAGTATAACTCAGAGGTTTAGTTTCAAGTAGAATTATTTTGAAGTGTTGGTGCTTAAACGTACCACTATATCTAGTGTAAATGATAAATCCCGTTTGACATTTGTGCTGGCTACTGTATATAGGCCACCAGGGTACCATAAAGATAAGATAAGGCACATAAAATCTTAAAAGCAAAGGTATAAAGGCATTTACAGACATTTTAACTCTATTGGAGTTAGAAAACACGTGTCAGGATCCACTCGTTGTCGTAATCATACTTTAGATCTAATATTGTCACATGGAATCAGTGTTGATGCCGTTGAAATTCTGCAGCAGCGCGATGACATCTCAGATCACTATCCATTACATTTTAAAAACTTGATTAAATTGTTCAAGTTTATATTTGTTTTAAATCATAAAACACAGAATGATACTATTATGATACTAAACACAGATACTATTTTTGGCCATATCGCCCAACTCTAATTTAGACCGTACTGAGACTGCTCTGAGTTACAAATGATTTTCTCTAATCTTCCGATTGGGGTTGTATCTCTCTATTAGTATTACTGGATCTTATTTTTGCATTTGATACTATCAACCACAACATTCTTTTGAATAGTCTCAAAAATTATGTTGGCATTAGTGGAATTGCATTGGAATGGTCTTATCTAACAGGTATCAAATT